AGATTAGAGAAAGCCCAGGGCAAATCGAAACTACTGTGGATACGACCTCTTGGAAGTGGGCCAATGACGTTCTTGACCTAAAAGGGCGCCCGGGGCGAGTCAAAAGTGTGCGCCTTCATTCGGAAAAGTGATCCAATGTTTTATCAGGCGACCAGCGGCTATTAAGTGGTGGACCCACTTCATCTGATATTTGCCCACATTATGACAGTTCGCTTTCAATGCCTGTTTCTGTCGCTATCGTTAGTTGCAATACCTCTAGGCTTACAATAACAGCATCATATTTGTCAGGACTTCGCTTACACAAATTGCCGAAATTTCCGACCGTTAAATAAAATAGCTCTATTTGTTACATACTTAATTTGAGTATCTTTCTTTTTTTTGTTTTCATTTTATTAAAAGAATTTAGAACAATACGATGATTTTTTTTTCCTTTATGTATTCAAAAAATTTTTAGTTGCTTATTTCGCTTGTTTCCCCGGGAGTCAACGTTACAAAAGAACAATCAACCTCATAATTTTTTTTATAATCTACTTAAGCATTTTTTATGTTAAAACAAAACCTCTGCCAATTTGTCATACTTTTAGTCTCACAGTAACAACTTTTTTTCCAGAACTTCAGGACAAAAGCTGCCGAGAATTCCGACCTTTAAATAAAACAACTTCATTTATTGCGTAAATTAATTCTTTCATTTTTATATTTCAAGTATTTAGAACAATACGATTAATTTTTTTCACTTCGTAATTAAAAATATTTTTAATTTTTCAACATATAAATATTTTAATATATCGAGAGGCAGTGCCACAAAATAGCAATCAACTTACTTTATAATTTGTTAATGCAATTTTTAGGTTAAAACAAAAGCGTTCACAAAATAGCAGCTCTTATTTATTATTTCATATCAGTTTCATATTTGCCAATCACTGCTAATATGAAATATTAAATACGAGAAATTATTTATTAAAAAATAAAAAGAGTTATCGAGATTAATTTAACTGTTCCTATGTGCAAATCCAGTTCGAGCTAATTCTAAAACAACAACCAAAAAATAAAATTAATTCTTAACTTAAGTATTAATACTTTGAAATTTTATAACTAACAAACTCCTCCATTATTTAATTGGCATAACAAATATTATTCAATCAATGATATAAAACTCGATAAAAAATCATTTAATAAAAATGTGTTTCAAATAATATACTTTTATAGGTTGAATGCATAAAAAAATATCAATTGATAATAGAAAAAAAAGAGAAGACAACTTATTATTGCTAGGTTAATAATTCTCTTCTGAAAATCTATAATTTCTTTATGTAATTTAGCACTTCTCAAATTATTTATCAGTTCCATATTCAAAAAGGCAATTATAGGTTCCACAATAAAATCCGAAGTCCCATGCGAACATATTTTTATAACTAACTGAGACTTGATACCTTTAAAAACTAGAATAAAAGAAAACGATTTAATATTAGTTATAAACAATTTAATTGCCATTTAGAAGAATTTGTGTTTCTAGCATATTTTTGTCTGAATATAACGATTATATTGTTTTTTCACGCACCATTTTTTCCAAATCCAGATTTTAGCCTGGCGACTTAATGTTAATAGCGCACAATCTGCCGAATGGTCCCTTATTCTTTTATATTTAAGGTCTACAATTGCAAACCAATGGGAACTAGAGTTAGAGGTAGGCCTAAGATCAGATGACTTGACTGTGTGGAGGAGGATTTCAAAATCCTAAGAATTATTAACTGGAGAACAATCGCAAAGAAAAGAGCAGAATGGAGGAAAGTTCTAGGGAAGGCTGTGAACCACAAAGGGCTGTCATGCCAATAGTTGAAGAAGAATGGCACACAATAAAAAATTACAGACAAAGAAAGGCGCGCTCATTGACAGTGGGGCCGTCACACACTTGATAATCATTTAGGAGACATTTTTAGGGACAAAAGCCATATCCACCTTTCCGAAGTTTTGAGACTCTAGATGCATTAGGAGCAAGATATTTGCAAATTTATTATAAGTTTGGAAACTTTTCTCCTTTAAAAACGGTACTTGATGGACCACATTGGTTTTGATCTAGGAATCAAGGAACTTTTCTTAATAAGGAATCGTGTAGTTTTATTTAAAGGACGTTCAAATTTAATGCTCAATGTTAGTTTAAAAATTTAATTTTTAAGGAATAAAATTAAATTGTTTTGCCAAATAGAAATCAATAATTTAAAAACAAATGAATTTCTTTATTTAACTAAAACATCTCCTAACAAGTCAGGAACTTCATTATTTTTAACATTTAAAAGAAATACTGTACTTTATAACACGCTTTTAATACTACTGGAAGATACATTGCGTAAAAATATAATAAAGGTAAGGAAAAATATATTTAACGATAAATTTTCATGTGAGGCCTACACCATAAAAACTAGACAGAATGTTTAAATATTTATTTTTTAAAGATTTTTCTTGTTTCTTGTATTATCATCTAACACAGAACTCCAGTTAAAATTTAAACGCACTAGCGAGTTAAAAAGTGGTCAAAATATTCAATAACGATAAATTGTAGAAACGATAACAGAGACAAATTCTACTTGTGGTGACCAGGAAAAGGTTGAAACTTATATTGTTCTCAGACACAAAGCTGCAGTTGAAATTAGAGCACTTAAGTGATCGAAAATTTGGATAAAAGAAAAATCCGATTTGGTGACATAAATTTTCTTGTAGTTATAATGATATCATTGAAACCTTCATTGCCCCCAGACATACTGCTTCAAAAAGAGATTTAAATGCTCTGGTTAGTTAGAAAGTGGCCAATTTCAGAATTGATTAGTTTAAAAAGGATTTTTTAAATTATTTTACATACGTCATGCAAATATCAGTAGCACGAGAGCTGTTAAGTAAGTCACAGCATACAACTGACATAATCTTAAATATTCCCAAAAAATTTCAAAGCGATATCAAAAATAGTTTCTTAGAAAAGGTACATAGAAAAAGGTCAGTCTTAACATTATTGACATATGCCCTCCTACCGATTCCCCTTAAGAGTGCAAAATGATATCTGATTTAGATAGGTGCTTCCTCTGGTCATATGTTTCCCTGTGCATTTGACCTGGTTGAATGAAGCCTAGCTTACTCTTAAAGATTATTAATTTCCCTCTAAAATGAAGCTACTTAACATAAATTATATTTAATTTTTTGAAAACAGTTTTCTCTTATTTATATTGAAATTTATAGAAATTTTATTCGCGAAGCTGCTGAGGAAAAAAAACAGAGAAAACTTTCGGACTAGTATTTGTGATAACAGATAAAAATAAATAAATAAATAAGAGATAAAATTATGATAAGCTTATATTGTTTGTATGCGTAATGGTTCCTTAGTGAAATGATCGTAAGATACAGTTCCCAGTTGATCACCGAATTCAAGTATCACTTCACTGACTGCGCTCGAAGAACGGGTGGGTGACAACTTCGATCAGACTGCAAAGGGACCAAGGCTGTGTGCAGGGGCGGACCCAGAAATTCTTCCTGGGGGGGGGGGCCGNTTCCAGGGGGGGGGGGGTCGATTCCCCCACACAACTAATTTTTTTGATACAAAAAATTTTTTTAAAATATTTTTTTGAAAAAGAAAAACTGGGGTTCTTAATGCTAGTTTTCCCATTTATTTTCTTCATAATGAACAATGCATACATAATTCAAGTATCCAACATCTTTAAATAATAAATGTAATGCGTTTTTTAGAAACTTTGGCAAATCTGTCAATGAATGACGCTTGGAGCTCTCCGCGTGCTTCAATATTATTAATGCTTACAATGAAACTACGACGAATTTCGTTTTAATCTTTTGGATTATGATTCTTGAAACAGTGAAGAACATAATTAGATGGAAAAAAAATCGATTTTTCCAACCTACCTAGGTGTATGTGCCCCTTAAATAATTTTTAAAATATTTTATTTCTTTTGTAAACTATTAAAAAAATTATTTTTATATATTTTTTTCAATTTGGGGGGGGGAGGGGTCAAGACCCCTATGACCCCCCCCGCGTGATCCGCCACTGGCTGCGTGGTAACGGTCCTCTTTAAATTATTGTACCGTAAAGTGTTCAACAATGCGTGTGGTTGTCAGGCTACCAAAGTGAAGAAACCATCCTCTCTGCTGAGGATCAAAATTGTAATGGTATGTCTCCGAATCATCTTCAGGGATGTTTTCCAGGCCCTCACTAACAGCCCATTGTATAGCCTAAGTGCGATGTAAATAAAGTAGTACTACTACTATTATATGACAAATGGGAAATTTTTTTAAGTAATAGTTATTTGCCCAGTAAAAGCTATTAAATTGATTAAGGTCGGGATAGCCTGGTTGGTAGGGCACTGGACCGATGTTCAAGAGTTCGTGGGTTCGATCTCTGCTGGCCGAAGACTCCTGTGTAAGTAAATGGTAACTAAATGCATGTTAAATCTGTCGAGTACTGATCCAAGAGTTTCCTTCTCTTCTGAATTGGTTCAAAATTACTAGGCTACGGAGTTGAACATTCGTAGTCGTAAACCCAAAAGAATTGGGTCGCCTGTTCAAAGACGGATATTATACATAATATTAAATTGATCAATAAACCCTTAAAAGACGTATGTGAACTTCTGATGAGAGAAAATAAATGTATTCGATTTTAAGCTCGTTTTTTCTACAGAAATCATTTGTTTGAAAACAGGTTGGCATAAATATGTGCAAAAATATCGTAAGTAAGGAAAAAACTCAGAAAATTCATAAAAACTGATCATCATACTTCAAAATAGTAAGCAAAATAGATAATGAAAACAGTTTAGAAACTGAACTATCAGAGAAGGCGATCTCCCAGCCTATCAAGTACTAGCATTTTTGATGACGTCAGTCACAGATACCAAATCAAATCTAATTACCTATCACGCTCGTGTGAACATATGAGTGAATAAACGTGCACGCATAAGATTGACCCTTAGCCAACCAACTGATAGCTCAGCAGCGCTATCTAGTATAAGAAAAATGTAACTCAACTTTCAAGCAGTTTTTCGTCTTTCTTTGAGAGTATGTTTGTTGTACATGTAGTAATATGGCGGCGAATGATGATGAACCAATGCATTTATATGAAGTATTTCAAAATTGCTTCAATAAGATAGCAAATAAACAACCAGGTAAGGGCCCGATTGCATCCTTTAAGCTTTATCACATTATATAAATATTAGTTTCATTCATTAGGTCATTGTTTTTAAATGTTTTATACCTATGGTGCCTCCATCTTCATTGTTGTTATATGATAATCTTTTTCCTTACTATTTTATTTAATATAGGCTTTTGTTTATGTTGTTGAAAATGAAAGGAATACTTCAAATGAACATTTGATTTTATCAATTTAGACTCTTGCTTTGTACATCGATTTACTTTTTTTTACGTAAAAATCTATCTAAGTTTTTAAACATTAACATTATTTAAATATACTACACATGTAAGGTCAAATGTTAGTAAATGATATGAATAACTTCAGAATAAACTATGGGATATATTATCAATAGTGTTTATATGTATACTGTAATTTTATTTACTGTTACAAATTTGTGTTTGTTTATATCTGTTTTGTGGAATGAATGAAAACTAAAAAATTAACCTTTCTTCATAAGTACATTCTTCATTCATAAGTTTTATTTTTGCTCTTCTGATTTTCATAATTTTATTCATGAATTTTCTTGAATTGTAGGGAAAATCCTTGTATATTATTTACATTAGAGCAAGTTTTTGAAAATATGAAAGAATATTTTCAAATTAATCTAGTGTACAATTGTGTGTGTAATTTTTATATGTAGTGCTTCCAGAATTTCATTTTACATATCAAATAATCTAGAGTTCCATTGTTCTAATCATAATTTAATTATGATTCAGTTGGCTGAAATTAGTTTATTTGTAACACATTATAAATGGCTTGTTTCTGCTAACTATGGAAGTGCTTTACATTGTGGGACCTTTGTTTACAATTAATTTGTAAAGCATCATTTACACATTTGGTTTTGCATGATGTGTTGGAACACAAATATTTTATTTTGAACATTCTCTGATGTTTTTTAAGTAAATAGATAGAAACATTTGTAAGAAAATTATTTTCCAATAATTCTATTTTTTCTTGTATAATGTAAAAACTCAGTTTTCAAAGTAATGTAAAATATTGTCATTTTATATGCTCATACCCTTTTAATAGAACTTATCAAGAGTTTTTTAAGCATGTGCTGAAGTAGGAAAGATTTGAGAGTTAACATTAATTAAACAATCCTTTTTAAAACATTTTAAAAGGATTTATTTTTCAGGTTTATGTATTCATCCTGGAGAAAGTGAAATTTTAAAACCATTCTCTCTTCTAAATGTTATTAGGATCTATGATAGGCTGATTTTAACAAAGAATTATTGTTTTTTTTAGAAATCTTCTCATGAATACCTACTGCATTAAAGTCTAAATATTATAATACATATTGTCCTTTAAATCCTAAATTGCAATGTTAAATTGTCCTTTAAATAATAACTTCATTGTGTGCCCTTTGCATAATCTATATATAAATAACAACTTCTATCACTACAGAAGTTTTTTTAATTTTTATTTTAAGGCCAAAACTCGTTAATTGGGTTGGAATAAGATATATTTATTAATATTTTAATTTTAAATACAAGAAATGTACATGTTTATTATATTTTTTTCATTAAATTTTTTTGAAATTTTTAACAAGTAAAAATTTTATTTCAAAATGCATTTATTTTGAACAGACAGAAAAATTAAGCACTCTAATATTGTTTCAAGATTTTTTTTGCCAACTATTTCTGCAAAATAAATAATTTTTGGATAAACTACTATTTATAAAAATTGTAAATTTTTAAATATAGAAAAATTAAATGGACTAGTACTTTTAAAATAAATATATAATAATTTTAAAACAAGTTAATGTAGTTAGATTTTCTTTAAAAATTCTAGACTAGACTCAATTATAAAATTATTTTCTACTGAAAATGTTGATTCATATTGGCAGTGTTATAATGAACCAGATTAATTATAAAATTATTTTCTATTGAAAATGTTGTTATCTATTTAAAATGACAGTGTAATAATGAACGAGATTAATTAAAACGATTTTAGAAGATTAAATTTTTAACTTAAAGTGCTTAATTATCGTATTGCATGACTGACTTGCTCTTCATACTTAAAATATTATTAGGGCCTACCAATTTGGATTTTAAAGGAATAAGCTTAACGACTAACAAGAGTCACTCTCTCAGGCAAATATTTGAAAAAAACAAAAGCATATTGATATGTACCATCTTTTCACTGATTTTAAATCAGCATTAAATTCCATCAAAAGAGGGAAATTTTTCGATGCTATGATTAAGTTTGAAATCCCATATAAACTAATTAACCTTGTAAAAATGACCCTTAAAGATATCAAATGCAGTGTAAAATTTATGTCGGAATTATTAAATCCTTTTTACATGTTGAGAGGTTTGAGACAGGAAGACACCATCTCTTGCATGCTGTTTAATATTGTACTGAAGAAGGTGGTAAGATATGCCAATATAGATACTAAGGGGTACATTTACACTAGAGAACAATTTTTTTTTTGTTTCTTTTGTTTTCCGTTGCATGAGATTTTTTAAACAGTTCTTCGATATTTTTCTGCAATTAATTTCTTTTTCCGAGCTACAATTTTTAAAAAAAATGACATTTTAAGTATATGTTTTGTCTATGTACAAGTTTAAAAATGTCATATTTAATAGTAGGTCATGTTGCAACAAACTTCTAGGGGAATTAGGGAACATCATTAGGATTAAAACTACATTGGAACCCCTGGCCAAAAATGTCATACGCCGATAGGGGCGATTTCCTATTTTTAGCTGTTTCTTTGTGCACTTCTAAACAGGTTCTAGTAGGGAAGATCTCTTAGCTGCGTATTATGATATTTCCTCGCATTGTTTCCTATGCAATTTCAATTCAAGCAATATGCCGTAACTCTTAAAAATTTGTTGCTATATTTAACTATATATATTTTTAGACTTGTTTTTTTTAACAAAAAATAGACTAAAAATGTTTTTATAAAAAAATTTGGCTTAAGAAGCAAAACTAATTTCAGATTTGAAATCCCCGAATTAGACAAGATCAAATATTTGCATAAATAAAACAAAAAATTTGCTCCCCAGTGTTATCCAAAAGTCTGTTTAAATATTGGTAGATGAGTATTACAAAGCTTGAGGCTTCTGCTTAAACAGGATGAAACCAAATTTATGGCAGTCAGTAATCAAAATTTCGAGGCTTTATTTTTTGTGACTTTCGTAATTATACATTTGAAGGAGTCAGTGTATTCAAATACCTAGGAACTATTGTTACAGTTAATAATTATATCAAAACAGAAATTAAAGCAGGATAACAATGGTTAATAGGTGTTATTTTGGATTGAGAGACCAACTACAAACTTACTTTCCATTAAAACTGAGATTAATTTATATAATACTCTAATTAAACCTTTATTATTTTAACCCATTCCTTCTCGTTCCCGTGAAAATGACGGGATGAGATTTCGCCTGCTATTCCTCTCTCCCGTGATATTGACCTTTGTCTAAGAGTGGCTTGTCTAAACTCATTAGCGATGTTATCCATGAATGTTGGACGGTTACTTCGAATCTCCCTGTCGAGCACCCGCCGGTCCCTGCTGGTGAGAACTGTAGGTCGTCCACTTCGGGTTTTGTTCTGACAGTGTCCCTCAGTCTTGTAGCGACACAAAACACGTGAAACAGTTGAATTTTGAGCAGTTACAGAGATGGGATATCTCCCTAATTGACACATTGGCAAGATGTAATGCAAGTAACACACCTTTCACGAACTCAGACAACTCTTTCCGTGGTGGCATCTTGACAAAAACAAATCTAGTCGACTCCAGAGTATTTGTAGGATATGGCTGACACGTGATACCTATTATTGTGCCTGTGTCAGCTGTATTGTCGACTTTTCTACTTTTCGAGGGGTGTCCCGTCACTTTCTTCCAGATAGTGTATAATTACATTACTTTTAAGATTATTTCATTATTATTTACATTACTTGTGAATATTATTTACTCATAACTTCTATTTGTTGTCTACAAACTAGTTAATCTATTGTTGGTTAATATAAAAATAAGAATAATTGTGTCACACTGGGTCTGACTATCTTATTTTGTAAGTTTTTCAGTTCTTTTTCAGAAGTGCGCTTGCCATTAAAAATAAATTTTCACATGCATGAGAATGGCCTTTAAAAAAATATTAATAAAACCTTTAGCATAGTTTGATATTAAATAATTGTAGGCATAAGTTCATGACATAGCTTAGCATAGTTCATTTAATTCTCTATTTTTTCTGGTTGTAAATATTTCTTTCTAATGTGGGGGCAAGGATTTTGAATTTAGACAGACACAAACAACACTATGTTGATTAAAAAAGGAAAAAAGCACATGGTTTACTTAATTTGAATTATACGATCATATTTCTCAGCATGAAGTGGTTTATTATTTAAAAAGTAAACCACATTAGTTACAAAACACATAACAAATTGATCTGGCATATCAATAATAGAATACAAGCATAAACATTCTAATAATAGAAAATGAATTTTAATATTTATCTATGCCTTTCTACCTTTTAAAAAAAAGCTAGGGAAAAAATAATTGTAATGAAAAATTACTTGAATAAACATTTTCTTTTAATTTAATTGTTATTTTTATCTTCTGATCATAGATGATGTGATGATATTTATTGCATTCTATACTTTTCTATGATGATTCGTTTCATTATCTGACAAACATTGTTAAATCTTTGATTATTTACTTCAAATGTTAATCCTGATAAAGTTTTTATTATTATCATATTTACATTTCTCCATTTAATTTATATTTGTAAGTAGTTCTTGATTGCTAACATAGACTTTTTTATGAAGAAGACAAAAAACTGCACTGTAGGAATTGCATAGTTCACCCTGAATATTCTCTACTCATCCGGTCTTCCAACATGCCTTTTGTCTGTACTTCACTTGCTTTTATTTAGATATTTTGTAAACCTTTTTTAAGGGTTCAAGTTAAGAATAGGCATAAACAGGGGTCCGTCTAGGTTTTTCTGAGAGGTACCTATTTTGTGAAAATTTAGACATAATTTGTGAAATTATATTAAAATATCAACACAAAAATATGGATTTATCATTTCTTAAGGGAAACAAAAATAAAATTTTGAGAAAAAGTATTTTGTGAAACTACCGTTTTTCCTAAAGTTGAATTTGTGAAGGTACCGCTAAATGGTAGTAAATTCGGCCTGGACAGACCCCTGATAAAGCAAACATTTATTTTGATTGTAATTTTCTTTTTATGGATTTCAGATAAGTCGCGGGACATGACTTATCCAATGACATATCCAAATGCAGGGGAAGATGGTTTGACACAGGTATTAATAATATTTTGTTTAAACTACTTTAAATCTAATGTTTTAGACATCTGTAATTGTATATATGACTTAATTTGTTTTGTTTTAGGAGTGTTTAAATACTTTTCCCCCAGTAGAACTACTTCCTGTTGGGGATGCATATTTTCAGTATTCAAACACAGTCCAACAAAGGTTGCTTCCTGCTGAGCCAGTCAGAGGTATGAATTAAGTTTAAGCTTAAAATTTTATATGCTACGCCATGACTTCTTTAGCCTTTCATAGAACACATATTTCATTCAGTAACCCACATATATATGCTGTATCTGGAAAATAATGTCCCCTAGTCAATTGACTACCTTGCATTAACAGGTTTCAAAGTAGACCTTTTTTGATTTATATATTCTTTCTTTCGAGATATTCTGACATCAAAGGCATCAAAGTAAACCTTTTCACAGAATATCCTTTAGAACCTTGGTGATGCAAGCCTCTTGACTTGGTCAATTGTTTCAAAATGATGTCCTTTCATAAGAGTTATCAAATGCTATTACAAAAAAATGTCTGAAAAAGCTAGGCGAGGAGTGTGAGGTAGCTAGGAAACCATTGGCATTTTTGAATTGACAAGGGAGTAGGTCCCAAAACAAGGAAAAGGTCAAAGGTTGTTATAGTGACACTTCCAGTTTTTGATAAGACAGGTTGGTACTTAGAAGATTTTATATATGAGGCTTGAAATTAACTTTTAAATAACTATTTGTTCTCAAGAATTTAGTTACAATAGTCTTATTTTTCTCGGGGGTGGTTGGTGATGGCCTTTCACAATGAACTTCACCATTGACCTTAAATACTTCAACCTCTGGTAGAATTAGCATCCCAACAAACAATTATCACCATCAAGAAAGATCAGAGGTGGAAATTAGAAAGATTAAAAATCTTGCTTGGATTGCTCATGATTATAACAAGAAATATACCATTAAAAATATTAGAGAGCAAAAGAAGCAGCCCAAAGAAAGAAAAGTGTCTTTGACACAAGAAACTTCTATTTATTTTTATTTTCTCTGCGTTAATATATATATATATATATGAGTCATTCTCACTGAAAAGATATAATTAGACTAAAAAATTTTCTTAAATTAAAGTAATTAAAAAAGTGATAAAAATTACATAAATGCCTTTATTTATTTTTGTTATCTGTCCTTATAATAATGGTCAAGTTTTCTATTTTATTCTTTACAAGATTTAAAATATTTTAATTTCTGCCTTGTCCACAGAGGAAATGTAATAGTCAATGGAGGAGACATTTTATGTTATAAAATGTCAATGATGACTAATTCATTAATTATTGGGTACAACTGATATGAGTTTAACATTAATAAGTAAATAATAAAATATTTCATTACATCCATTTTTAACCTAGGTGTACAATTTTTTAAGTAACTCTTACTGAATATTAATAAATTAAAATGTAAAGACTATTGAAATAAAAATTCAGACTCCACATGAAAGTTGAGTGTTGAGGGTACTCTTTTATGAAAATTTTATGCACGTTACACATACTGTCATCCAAATAACGTTTTTGTTTTTTCTCTTTTCTTGTTATTGTTTCTTTTTTCCCTGGGCACAAGTGGCTTGCTCTATCAATTTCTAGAAATTTAAGTGCATTTAATCATGATTTTTCTGCTAAACCTTTTTCTGATACTGATTTTCTGACTCTTGNTGCTTTCTTTTTTTACATTTTGGTTATGCCATTTTTTTCCTAAAATTTGAAGAGAAAAAGAATGTTAACCATCACAGAAATTATTTAGAAAAATTGCCAATATTTACTTCTCCAATAAGAAAAAGTTAAACTTAATTGATTTTCTTTAAAAATAAATACAAATTAACACATTTGTTTCATTTAAAAAAATATCAATTAAAAGAAAATAGTTTTTTAATTATTAAAATTGTATTATGGTAATTTAACACATTGTCTCTTCCATTGACTGTGTCTTCTCCGTGGACTTGTTATGTCCACAGAGGAGACAAAAACTAGTTCTTGAATTTTATTGATTTTTGATTTTAAAGTTACAAAAATGGTGCAGTTCTTTTTATTAAATATACTATTTTTGCAATCTAAAATTCATCTATCAAAAATAAAAATTTTTTCTCTTACCTTCTTTATGATGTCCACGGAGTATACAGTGAGAACTTTGCGAAACCCCAGTTGAACACAACAATCCAAAACTGACACCAAGGGGAACAAAAATAACTGATAGTTAACATTAGAAAATAGAATGGTTACCTTTCCCAGCAGCTGTCTTTTAGGGAGCAGCTGCCCTTTATTGCATATTTACCGAACTATTTTAATTGTCCATGGAGGGAGATTTCATTTTTGATGGACAAAGTTTACTAGTAATTTATTTTATAAAAATAAATTTTTTTTAAAAAAAATATTAATAAAAAGTTGCTATAAACATTTAACTATGTAAAACTACAAAGATCATTAAAATAACATTTAAATTGTTTAACAGCCATAAAAAATTATTTTGTGTAGACATAGGGACGTCCACGGTGGGGATTTTGAAGTTATGTTTATTAAAAAAATAAGAATGAAATGTTAAATACATTTAGCAGAAATGCATATGATTTGTTAGTTAGAATTTTATGAAAAATGATGAAGAAAAATATTAAGAAATCTGCTGTATTTCCTAATATTTATTACTAAGGGACTTAAAAAATCACCTTTTTTTGAGAATGACCCATATATATAAATATTATATATATATCTATATTATGCATAAGATCTATTTTTATTATGTTCATAAGATAAACCAAAAATAAATGCCATGTGTTGCCAATTTACCTGATATAGAGAGTCTTAAAATTTGATTGAAAATTATAGTTCTTATTTTCATTCATATAATGTTTATTTAAATTTTTTTCCAGGTCCACCTGTCAAACGAAAAAGGGATGTATGTATTAGTTTTTTTTTCTCTATGTGATTTGACTATGGTAATATTTTTAGCAATTTGCTATTTTGTGGTGTAAAAAAAAAAAAATTTTTTTTTGAAAGCATTGGATTAAAATACAACGTCATGCCTAGTTTGTATTGTTCTGTTTTAGTAATTACTAATATTATCAAAGTGAAAGACCATCTCTTAAGTATTTAAAATTGTATTGTTGAATATAACTATATTATAAAAAGTTTGTTTAAATATGTTTTACAATAAAATCCTGTTATAATAAAAATACACAGTAAGTGAAAAAGTTGTCATTACAGTGAGTTGCTCACCAATAAAAACTTTTAATTGTAAAAAATGCAATATTGGAATTTGTAAAACAAAACATAAATATTGATCTATTTTCTCTTTATTTCGTTGGAAGTTCTCTTTTCAACTAGTTTGGTTTTGTGCTGCACTTTAAGAAAGTCTGTGGGAAAAGAAACGCTTGAAGATCAATAAAATTGCTAAATAGTGTTTAAGTTTAATTAAAGCTAGCTTAATTTTTTTCCCTAGATTTCACTTTTCAAAAAAGTGTGATATTTTTTGTACCAAAAACTGCTAAATTCGTAAGTTTTGATTTCATGGTACTAGTATGATCTCTAGAAATGAATTAATGTTGTTCACAATTCTTTAATATTAAAATGCATTATTTCTATAAAAAAAAAATTAAGTAAACTTTGAAGCACAAAGAAAAATTACAAAAAGTTTGAAAAGGTTATGATTAAGAGAACAATTGCATGTTGTCTCTCGTCAATTAAAGTAGAAAGATTCTCACAATAAGCTGTACTTCTTACATGTATTTTTATTGTATTAAAATATCAGATTAAATATCTTTCTGTAGGATTGTTTTTCAGTAAATATTATAATTTGAAATATTTTTCTTGAAAGTGAAAATATTAATTTAAACGATATTAAAATATTTTTTATTTTAGGGTTCTGAGAATAAGGAATTAGATAGCCATTGGATTCCTGTGAGTAACTACTAATTTATGTTATTAAAAAGTAGTTTATATTTGTTTGTTTTATTCATTTTATCTGGTCTCTCTTCTCTTTTTTCAATAATTTTATTGGAAACTTAAGTGTGTCTTGCTGGATTGGTGAAATTTTTTGGATTTATTTTCTTACTAAACAATAGCTATTTAATATAGAAGTAGGAGAAATTAAATTTTAACGCCATTTATTGTATAATTGATAATAATGCAAATTGAAATAATCTGCACTTTGACTATGATGAGCCAAACTTGTAAAACACTATAAAGATCCAAATTTGCCTTTTTATGAGGAAGGATTAAAGTGGTCTCTGTGTAAGTTATGAAGTTTTTGTAGGCAACTCTGGCATATTCACAAAACTCTCCTTACTGTGTAAAGTATTTGAATATTCTAATCAGCATAAGCCATCTAGCCCAAAGATGTTAGCCAAATGTGTTATTGTATAAGTATTATATTTTTAATTTAGTTTCATCTCACTTCAGGCTTTCTTGGACAGGTGTTTTGTTAAGTTTCATAAAGAGCTGTATAGATAGTAATCTAATCAAAATTATTAAAAACGTTCATTTAAAAAAATTAAAGAATAAAAACAATATGCATAAAAAAGTAAATAAATTCAAGAGAGCAACTTTTTGTGTATTTTGCTTGGTACAACTTTTTAAAAATAGGGTTATTTTTCAAGTTAGAAACATCTTGAAAATATTATTTGATTGGTTTGGTCATGTTCTGATTATTTTTAGAGATCCATTCCCTCCAATTTCTGCGGAATATTCTAAGCAACTTGAAAAGATTTTTATTAGTGGTAGAAAAGTTATGCATTAGTAGTTTAATGAATTGAATAACGAAAATGTTAACCACTATATTAGTAATACTGTTAAGTGCTGGTAAAATTAAAACAAAAAACAATTGTTGAAATTTTTTTTTGCGTTCTCTACCTAGTGAAGAATATTTTTCAAAAATGCAGAGGTTTTACAGTATGTATGTAAATAAATTTTTCTTTCCATTCATCCTTTGAGACGCTACTTTTATATATAATGTTGAAAAATATTAGGTACATTGACATAAAGATCTGTGGGACTGTCAGTTTACTTATATAGTGACTTTTGTAATCTGAAAGTAGTTTCAGAAGTTTAATTATTTCCAATTATTAAAATAACTAGTACACTATTTATTGTACCTGTTTAGTTATTTTAAGCATAAAATTTTTTTTGTTTGTTTTTAAATAAGGAGAATGTAGGACTGAAGTATAAATGATCAAATAATAACTTCAGCAATTCAGACTTGTTTGCTTTTAATGCATTTCACATATTTTAATATCCTAAAAGCGTAAAATTAGTTTGCTACTAGTATTTTTGGAGAAAATAATCATTTAAATTTAAAGGATTCTAAATGAAGCTTTTAAATATCTTTTTTAAAAATGAAATATAAGTTGTTTGTGAATGTTTCATTTGACTGTTTAATGCAGAGTAAGCAAAACCTTATACATAGAGAGTTCAGAGTTGCCTTTAAAGCAGAGTAAACAAAACCTTATACATAGAGAGTTCAGAGTTGCCTTGAAATAAAAATAATGCTTTTTATGTTAATTATATTCAATTATATTGCAGCCTTTCAATACTGATGGTTTTGATCAAGACTCTGGGAGATTCAACTCTTCAAAGCCTGGACCTTATTCTGATGCATTTTTCATAGGTAAAAATATAAATAACTAAAAGTTCACTATGAAATTTTATCTTACAGATTTATAATGCTGACCAAAAGAATTATTTAACTTGTATAAAATTTGTAGTTCCCATTCTTTTGAAGTTTCTAACAAAATTATGGTTTTAAAAAGCCTAATATGATTTTTTTTTTAAATTTCCCAATCATTTTAAGGAATTTTCACTTATTAAATGTTAATAGTAAATTAATTGAAATACAGTTTTCTAGCCACTACTTACCCCTTGAGAGACATCGCTATACCAAGGAAGAAACCCTTCATAGCAAATTTTGTTTCACTTCTATTAGTAATGAAAAACTTAAGAAAAGTATGAGTTCAGATAAACCAAAAATAAACATGAGGCCTCAAATGTTGATTTTCTGTTTTTATTTTAAAAATTCAAACAAATTATGCCAGGATCACTTTCCCATTTTCTATAGTGGATTTATCTTTCTACTGTTTGTTTGAATTTTAATATTTTAAAAAAAATTCAGCATTTGAAGTTTTATTATTTACTCTAGGTTTATTTGAACTCTTTATTTTTAATTTTTATTGTTTTAAAGCTTTTTCTCAGATTTTGAACAGCTTAAATATTGCTATCTAGACCAGTTTGGAATTGTTTTTGAATTATTTTTTACGCTGAATCTGAAGAAATCAAAATCAACATTATGTAGATAGAACTAATTGTTAAGAAGTGATTAAGGTTTCATTTATGAAAATTATAATTTTTGTCTTATGCTCATAAATTCTTAAAACTTCAAAACTATTAGTTTTATTAACTTAATTTTTGTTTTATTCTTGATGTAGTGATATAGTAACAAAAATTCAATATTCTTGTTATATTATTTATAATACAGTTAAATATGCTGAGACCTTGGTCGGTTCGGTAAATGGATCATCAAAGATCAAAGCTTTCAATAAAAAATTATATTAATATTTAATTCAATAATGTTTAATTTTCATTTATTCAACTTAAAAATATTCATTAGGGTGGGTAAATGACAAAATAAATTTATTTCTCAATATTTGCAATGCAGGATGATCATACAGACTTGTAGTACTTGTGCTTGAACAGATTTAAAAAATTTAATTTCAAAATAACAAATTAAAGAAGGAAGGAAAACAATGTTTGATAAAAAAAATCTATGTGTGACACATACTCACACAAAATGTAAAGTTTGTTTTCCTAACTAAATGCCTGATTGAAAAAAAAGAAAGGTTCTTTTTGGAGAAAATAAGAGAAAAATGTAATTAAAAAACATTAATAACTTTAAAGTAACTTTCAAATCGAATAACAAATTCATCGAACAATATAAAAATTAAATAAAAAAAATACTCTGCAAAGATAATAAAAGTTATCATTAAGTTGATGTTAGTTTATGTCAAAAAACAATCAAAATTTATTTTGGCAATAAATTTCGCTTGTACCATCTAGGAAGTAATTGTAACTTTTTTTTAAATCAGGAACTGTGTTCCAAATAAAATTAAGTGCTCTTGCTACTCTTTTGACTGCAATAAATACTGAGTGTAGTGCAGGGCGATATTGAAATTTGTTGGAATAGATTTTTTTTTCCTCATCTGACATCAGGATTTAGTGATAAATTGACTAAATACCAATTTCATTTTTACTGCATGAAAAAAAAATATTCAATTAAGCCATTATAAGACTTTTATTTATATCCCTCACAGTTAAATATAATGTACAGGTTTTTAAACCAGCGCATTTGAGTTTTATTAATTTTAAGCAATGTTGTGATTCCCTAAATTTAAATTTTAAAAGCTCATTGTTTCACTAAATTCTTATTATTTTAATAAAATTGATAAAAAAAATATAACCTCAGCTAATTGGATCAATACTCAGCTAATTGGATAATACAATTGCAGTAATTTTGTTACAGTAAAAGCTCATATGTTCAGATATCTGAAAATTTTAGGATAGATGCATATTCCAAATTAATTCCCAGAAATCTTGATTTCTAAGTATTACTTTATTTTTACAAAAAAAACATGCTGCACCTGAATAAAAACTAAATATTATCTCTACTGATGTAAAATTACGAAAAAAGAGAAAAATCATAATAGTTCACAAAAGTTATTGATGATAAATAAACGATAAGTAAATAATAAAAACCTAAAATTGTAAAGTGGGGAAAAACTGCAAGTGAGGAGTATAAAATAAATTTATTGTCTTAAAATTAGTCATCCTATTGAACTATAATTGTTAGTGGACAAATGCTGTAGCTAGGATTAAAAAATGTTAAAACTTGGTGTAGTTCTATAGTTATACAATTTGAACATGATTCTCTACTTTAGGTATGCTCTTCTCTGTATGTATATTAAATTGTTAACAATGTTCTTTTCCTTTTTGTGTATGAGTTGATTTTTCTTTAGATGGCCCTCATGCAACGTCAGACCCCTGGTCTACGAGTTCAAGTTTACAATCCTCCTCTTATTCATACGCGAATTCTGTGATTGGTATACCTGCATCACATCCAACACCTACATCTTCTGCCTTTTCCACGATGCATTTACCCCCAGAACCAATGGTAAATTTTGATAATTTTCTTTTTTTTTTTGTGTTTAACAAATTAGTAGTTTAACTGAAACTGAATTATGTATATATATATTTTAAAGTCTATAGTGATATATTTGGTTTTAGTGAAAATGAGGTGACTAACCTTTTAGTAAGAAAATCAAGTTTATAGTATAAGTCATGTATTTTTAAGATTATTATTAAGAAAAATCTCTGAACTATGTGACTGCTATTTGGAATTATAAGTGATTTGGTTGCTCAAACATGTATAAAAAATCAAGTTATCAAACAATAAAAAACAATAAAGGAATATTAATTTGAAGAATAAAATAAGATTGAACTATAGGAAAGTTGAAATGATGAGACAAAACATAAAATTTTTACTTACACTCCTATTTATTAAAACTTTATTATTATATGATTATCTCACATATAGTGATAATTTACTATCACTTGATCAAAGAAAAAAAACAACATATCCAATTATTTATAATGTTACATTTAAATAACTAATAACCACTCAGATTTATTTACATATACTTAAATTTGTTGATACTTCATTTCTCCTGCGATGTACACCTCCAAGCACATCAGCTACCATAAATTAAACACACATTTATTAAAAGTGGTCTTCCCTCGTTGAGGAGGACCAGCTAGCGAAAACTTAAATCATAATGCCAAACTTCTGAAAGAAAGGTTTTTGTGGCTGTTTTAACCTGTTTCCATTCCTGGGTGAAGAGGGAAAGTTTTCCGTAATACAGTCCATTCACCACAAGCAAATATTCCCCCTCGATATGTGGAGAATAGGTATATTGTAGAGTTGAAGCTTTTCTCTTTCTCTCATAACAGGCTTATATTGTGCTGGTGTGGTGGCATCGGTGCATCTTTTCTGTTTGACACAATTATTTAGACTTTATACTACATTGCTTATAACTGGAGATTAAGGTTCTTATAATTGTAGAGAGTATTGCAATGTGAAACATTTGTTTAACAGTACTTTTTAATGTCAGTGATGAGTTTTGAAACCTCTGCTTATATTTGGATGCAACTGATAAATCATTTATTTAATCTCTCAGCTTATTTCAAATGAGATGCCAATGAAATAGAAAAGGCATTTTTAAAAAGAAAATATAATATTTCTAATAACAAAATAAGGAGTAAATTATGAAAAGATAAAGCATTTATGAAATATTGCATCAGTATTTACTATTCAAATCAAAATACTAATATAATTAAATTCTTTGATAATGTTTCCTTCATAACCATTTTCAACGATTATTTATAGTATTTGTTTTTAGTTTTCATTTCGAAAAAAAAATCATAATTATTTTATTCCTTTTCAGCTTATGTATATACACAAAAACAAATTCATAACTTGACTAAATATAGGACGAAGACTAAATTTAACTGTCAGACATAGAACCTAATTAAAAATTATTAATGATAAAACAAGGAAAAATTTTCATTCTTCTAATTAAATATTTTAAAAACAGTTATATAGGTTATAATATTCAGTATTACCTTAATAAACTTAATTCATAAAGTTTAGGTTCCATCTAAAGAAGGTAGATAATTTAAGGTTCTGTAGCAGAAAAAATTGGGAATTGCTGGTCTAGAATGTTAAGAAAGAAAAAAATGAAATCACTCACAAAATATTGGGTGGGCACACACACACTTCGCTTCTTAGGCGCAAGTGCTGGTAATATCTACTAACTGCTTGAATTGGAAGCTAATCAATGACAATTCAAGAATTATTGCTTATAATGTATGTTAGAACAAGATTCCTGTAATTCCTGCTAACTACCCTTGAAAGATGCTGCTTAATTGTAGTAAGCACAATGGAGCTGTCAAATCTGATTGATTATTGTATTGTATGAATGCTTATGAAATGGTTAACAATGACTTGACTGTGATGACAGATGTGGAAAATATGTTTAATAATGATAAATTAATGACAATATTGCAAACAAGAGATGAAAAGTTTACTAGGTTACACCTCAATGTAAAATTCATTCTAGCAACGACTGGCCGTTGTTCAGACATTGTTGTACGAAGGTTCCTTGTAATGTAAAATTTTTGGAAGATGTTTGATACACCATAAATATAGGGTCGTTCTTTGGAAGTTGCCCATTGTTTAGAGGTGGTGGTTAAGAAAGGTTTTACTATATATCTATCTATATATATATATGTATATATATTTCAAAGTAGCTTGTATCTCTGAATCTTATGTCCCTCTCTTAAGTTCTTCAGTTGATCAGATAGATAAAATTTCATGCGAGAGTATCAAATTTGACTATAACTTAATTTTGAAAAATTAAGTAATTTGTTCTAAATTTAACATGCTTTATTAATTACACATTTGCATTTATTTTAGGTGTATAATTCAGTTTCCACAACCCACGATCCATCACTGATGGCCAATAGTCTTCCACCCATGTCTAGTTTCAGGGACCCGTCCAGCCATAGAGCTTCTATGGCCCATACAACAGCCTCTCCTCTTTATGGTCAAACTACAAGTCCTCCAAGTCCTTTAGTCTCCACAGATCCCCTTGGTAACCGGCAACAAACACAAACTGGTGACACATTAGGAAAAGCTCTTGCATCTGTATGATTTAATTTTAAATAATTTATTGATCAATTATTTTTAATCAATTTATTGATCTTTCTGTTTAATATTCAATTAAAATTCGTACCAGTGTGTTATTATAATGCATTAAGATTTACTGCAATAGGGTTCTCACTAGTCAAAAAAATTTAATTTTTGATATAAGTGAAAATTGCTGCACAGTTTCCATGCGATCTAGAACAGCCATCCAAGGAATTCTTGACTTTTTTGAAAAATAATTTTTATAAATACTGCCTATGCAAAACTTTATATTTAGCATAATGTGCTGGAAATGCCTTTCGAAATAATAGCAACTTCTAAAAAATTTATAAAACGGTTCAAGGTTTTTGTGAGCTGTCTTACTCATGTAAGTGACTATTCGTCAATATTTGAAATGGTTTCCATATTTTCTAATTTCTTAATTTTCATTTAAAGAATGTAAAATTTTTTTTTATTAAGTATGTAAGTTTTTGCCAGAAAAAAATTTGGTATTTTAATGGAAAAGAAGTTAGTAAAAATTTTTGGTTTACTTCTCTTAAAAGTAATAAAAATGTGAATGATTTTTCAAAAATATTTTTTATTACAAATAAACTAATTAACAATTCAAAAGAAAAATAATATTAATCATTAAAAAAGTGTAAATTAGGGAATATTTTTCATTAAATTCTCTATAGGTAAAATTCCTTTCTGATAGTTCAACCTATAAAGAATAATAGAAAAACTCTATAATTCTCTATAAAGGAATCAATATATATCTAAAAGAATTTGATCTTTCTTATATTTGACTTCATTCTCACAAGTAAGGAATAAAAAATTAACAAATAAATTTTTCCAGTTACAAAATGTTTTTCCTGTTTTATGCTTATATTAGTAATTTTTAAGTAACCTTTTTTAACCTTTTCACGTGGGCGCAAAAATAAGAAATCTAGATCCTCTGGTGGGCTCTTTCTGAGAGGGGGGAGGAATTCAAGAAAGGGAACCGCTAATCCCTAAAACAAGTCAAGTGATGGGTGTTAAACATCCCCGAGACTTTTATTTTCCCTCTGTTATTCTAAATGCCATTGCCATCTTTTACACCACTGCAGTTCGGGATAATGGAAATAGCACTGGTGGAGGATTCCCATTTTTTTTTAAGACTGAAAAAGCGCAAGAAAACTTCTTTGATGGTTTTACACGATTCAGTGTAAAAAAAACTACATTCCGAATGTCGCATGTTTAGTATTTATGGTGTTTTACAAACATTCAGATTTAGTGTGGTGTATCGCAATTTCCTCATTTTATTGTTTTGAATTCTATAAACAACACATAATCCCTAACCATAGTTCCGGAAAAACTACTCATTACGCTAGCTATAAAAAATTATGCACACACACAATCAATATATATATATATATATTCATGCGGTAAGGAATATTTTTAAAAACTTTGAATGTAGCTCGCATCACAAGGCTTAAACGCTCCCTTCGATAATTATCAACACGTTAGAGAATCATTAAAATGTTTATTCTGCTCATTATGTTCATCAAATTTAAAATATGAAATCCCTAATGTATTAAAATATCATTAAGAGTAAAAAGCGAGAGTTTTGAAGCACGAAATTTTCTCCAATAAAATGAAGAAAATTTTTTTTTAACTAGAAGTTGTAACTAAAACCATTTTATCTTTTTTAAGCTCATTTAAGGATTAATTATTTCAGCGTATAATATTTAAAATTCTATGCGATGGAAATTCTTCTTAATATCCATCGTTTACGATTTAAAAAATAAAGAAAAACAGAAATTATTCCATTATTCTCTTTTGTGATAGCACTTAATAAATAAATATTCAAAAATTCTTCTTTTAGAAATATTCCCCAGGGAGGAGGGATTATTAAAATAAAAATTATAAACGTATAAATATAGTAAACTCTCGTTTATTATATTTTGAATTTTATATTATATTATTTATTATCAAGATCAGATCTCGATATTGCACAAACCATGGAATAGAGTTGTCAGAGCCTCAGAAAGGTTGGACATACGTTCCCTGCAGAAACTGCTCGGATGTCATGATGGCACCAAAACACATTTTCGAATGTCCCGCACTCACAACGCATGTTTTGAAATTGGGATGGATACCAATTCAGGACAATCTAAAGGCCTGGTTTCTTAGGACAGGACGCCGTCAGCTGGAAATCAGCGCTAACCACTGATTGGTCCATTTGTGAGTTTGATAGTATACGTCATCGAGTTCAAGATGAGCGTTCGATGACGTACACTATCAAACTCACAAATGGACCAATCAGAGGTTAGCGCTGATTTCCAGCTGACGGCGTCCTGTCCTAAGAAACCAGGCCTTTAG